TACTTCAAACTCACTTGAAACTTAAAGAGTTTATGTTACCAGTTATAGGAACAACTACTCAAACAGCAACAGTTCTGTACAAATATTTGGAAAACTTAATTCCCCCTGGCTAATTTCACCTCAGACTAATAAGCAGCATCCAGCTACACGTGGTCAGTCAGCAGGAGAGGCTACACAGGGACAGGATGTGAATTAAAAAGTGAGCACCACTGGCTGGCAGAGATGTAATCCCAGTTTCTTTTTGCCACACCAAATCCACATGGAGCTGGAATTTGCCTTTCAACACTCCAGTTTTCCTTGTGATCTCTTTCTTCAGTCCTCATGCACACCCCCTTTGTTTTCAGACTGAACAGCAGGGACACTTAATTTTGGACATTTTATGAAACCAATTTAAAGATTCTGGGAGTAATTAAGAGTTGCTGTACATTCCTAGCAGCTTTCATGAACGGTATGACCAGGTGCTTTCCCAACTTACAGGAAAGCAGTAAATTTTTATATGCTCTTCCAGAGCAAAGCTGAAAGAGTCTTCATTTGTTATCTTTTTGGTATGTTAAAAAAATAACAACTATAATCATCATCATTATCATCATCATCACCAGCTTCCTAACCAGCACCACTTTCTGGAAACAAGGTAAAAACCAGTTGTGTGAGAAGAAATTTAGGAACAAATAGAACTTAGCATATTCTGCAGTACTTGATGTAATTTTTAAAGAGAGAGGCTGGGTTGTGAAGCAGAGTTACTTGGCATTGACTGGACTATCAAACCATATCTTTCCAGAGACAAATATATTAATATTAATACAGAGTTCACTATAGCCTTGGACATGAGTTTAAGAAACTCTTGCACTATACAGCAATCTCCAAATTCCTCCCCAGTTTTAGATCACCACAGAACAGAACTGACCATTGCAGCAAAGAGACCAACACAGTTATAATTTCCAGCCAACCTTGCAGAAGGCAATGCTCAGTTACCTTCAGTAAATATCTGCTAAGGCACACGTGACATCTGAAATGAAAGTGGTAGGATACAAACCAAATGCTGCCAGCTCAGGTTCCTTCTTCCACTTCCCCAGTGAAGCAGGAGGATTCAGCCATATCACTGTATTATGCAGGAGCAAATCCCCCATGGAAAGGTCGGCGACCTGCCAGCACGAAGAACACAAGCACAGAGACACAGTGTTTAATGAGTTCAAGGAATCTTATGGGAATTTCCAGTTCAAGAAACTTGCTTGAAGTTTAGTCCTGAACAAGCAAAAAATACCCCACAAGTAAACCTTTGGAATATTTCATCAGATGGCCACAAGCATGTGCAAACAGACTGTGACACTTAGCAATAGATCCGTGTAGATCCTTAATTGGTCAGCATAAATTAGGATAAGTTAAACTCACAGAACAGCTCTTGCAATTTGGTGGGAAGTTAGGGCAAAAAACCAGATGTTTTCTTTGCCTTTTCATTTCTCCTTTGTCCATCTTCCTCCAGGAAGATGGTTTGAAAATGTAAGCACAGTCCCTGATGTACATACTCAGTTTGGGGCAAAGTTTAGAGGTCTTTCTCTTTCTTTATGGTCTCCCAGAGTGATAAACTGAGTGCTACCCCCAGTCCAGGGGTCTGGGACTTTAAGACCCCTTCCAGGGGTCTCAGACAGTCAGCCAAGACTGAGCCACACCAGATCTTCATGTGCACCACATGAGACCTCCAGCCCACAGCCCCAGGCTCTCTCTCATGCACCAAGCCCCCTAAAATGCTTTGTAAAAGAGAATCAGCAGTTTCTCACACACCACACCTCACAATTTCATCTCTTCCAAGCCATTAAAATGCCGAGGACAGCCTTGCTTCAGCAAGTCCACTCAAACTAGTGGGGCCAGACAACTGATGTGAAAGGAGGAGAGTCAAGACAAGGATATCAAAATAGTGAAGGGCAGGTTGGGATGAGATTTTGACCCAAGCACAACACTGAAGGTCGATCATCCACTACTTCTTTACATTGGTCCCACTCACTGAACCATACATGGAAAAGCAGTTCTAGAATTGAATAGGGATTTATCTGTTTGCACCAGGATCTACTTCAGTGGAACAACAGGAAAGGTAAATATTTGATACAGTTTAACATGCACGCTCCAGGCACCACAATAACAGCCTCTTCCTCTCCAAATATAGTCGTCTGTTACCTCTTTTTTCTCCCCTGTTTGTTCTGCTATGAGCTGGTCAAACACTGCCCCATATTCCTCATGGATCTTCTGCATTTCATTAATGTGGCTGGCAACCTTGTTCATCGTTTTGATGGCCACTAGAAGAGAGACAGGATGAGAACAAAAAGGAATTTTAAGCCTTTGAGAAGAAGGAGTCCAGGTCAAAAATTAAGCAGGGCGAAGCACATGGGGTTAACCCCTTACCATCAAGGTGATAATGTTCTTCACTGTCCACGTCAGTGAGAGCAAAGAGCTCCTTCAGCAGGAGAGGGTACTTCAGGATCCGCTGGATGGGTTTGATGAGGTAAGACTCCAGCGTGGAGGAGTGCTGCCGTCGGGGGTTCTGGGCATCCAGGAATGCCTTGAAAGCAGTGTCTGTCTTGGCTGGAACATTAAAATGAAGCCATTGGATAAATCAAAAAAGGCATAAAGTCACTTTTCCAGCTTTAAATTCATTTATCCAGAGCCATTTTGCAAGGAACCGTAGATTTATCGAGTCCACGGAATTAGATTTATGCCCTCCAGGTTTGGAGTCATTGACACTTGCCTTGGACATGGTATTGAGGATTTCACAACAGGCACCCACCTCCACACCAATACAGGCAGGTTTTAATTTCACTGTCCATGGCAGAGCAGAATATCCTGAGTTGGAAGGGATCCAAAAAGATCATCCAGTCCAACTTCTGGCCCTGCTCAGGACACCCCAACAATCCCACCCTGTCCCTGAGAGCATTGTATTAACTCTCCTTGATCTTTGTCAGCCTTGGGGAGCCTGTTCAGTGCCCAAACACCCTCTAGGGGAAAAATCTTGTCCTGATATCCAGCCTAACCCTCTGTGAACAGCTCCAGCCGTTCCCTGGACCCTGTCTCTGCTCACAGGGAGCAGAGGTCGAAGTTGCCCCTCAGAGGAAGCAGCACTCAGTAACAAGCACTTCTGGCCTTGCAACTATTTTAGAGCAGCTCAAATTGTTTTAATCATCTGTTTCCTTTAAGCAAAGGCTCAAATTGGGTATTTATGAAAAGTCGCTGCTCCTAAGCCCAGTCTGACAGGTGTACCTACAATATTGACAAGCCTGGTTCTTGTTACCTCATTAAACCTTAAAATGCAGCTCTGAACAACCATCAGGAGCCAGTAAGGAGGCAGAAGAGCAGTACACTTATGCTAGGACACCAGATTTTGGGAGCACAGGCAGCCTGGACACCTGATTGCCATCATCTTGCTACCTGCCTGCTACTGAATTTGTAAAAATGTCATTTTCTCTGTTGCTCCCCCTACTAGAACATAAGGAAGGAAGCAAGGAGGAGGTGGTATTTTTAGACACACAAGTTATTCAGTGTAGGAACAATTCCACACAATTGCTTTTATTAGAGTCATGTCCCCTGCCAAGGCTGGGTGGTTTTTTTGCAGACAGTCACCTGATTGCAATAAAGCAACTTCAGTTTCAAACCCAAAAGCCACCTGCACCTCAGCTGAGGACACCAAATTACACCTGAAATACACTCCCAGCTTTTTAAGAGATTTATCTCTGGCATGAAATTTTATGTTCTGCTTATGCCACAATTCAAGCACAACCATTTCTCATTTATAAATACAGTCAGCAAAGAAAAATAAAAGCAAAATAACCAGATCTACCTAGTCTACAGGTTTAAAATTAAGGTCCAACAAAATGATTCCAAAAGAAAGCATGGATGTGACTAGCAACAAGTCATTAATTTATATATCCCACAGAGCTGCCAAATACTCTTTGCAGCATGGGGAATAAAAGTTTACAAGTAGAAATGAAAAAGGAAAAAGCGTGCAAAAAAAATACAACAAAAAAAGCCAAACCAACCAAGAAACAAAAACCCCAAAACTTTGATTGTCAGACATCCAGATGTTCTTTGAAAAATACGAGTTCCTCCCTGATGGCATCGCTCCTACAACTGGAACCATTTGTTTATTCAGTGTCTTGGCCAAAAAGGAATTGCAGGAATTGCACTGGTAACTCTTAAGAGAGTAACGCTTTCACAGGGGCAAAACATCACTCTGAGGTAAGTTGGCCCATGAGCATTTATAATCCAGAGCACAGTTCATTTATCTCCATCTCAGCAAGCCAAGCTCTGCTAGGAATTCAGACATGGAAACTTCTCAGGCAAGCTGGAATGAAGGCGAGAGGAAGAAGCGAGGGGAGAGGGAGCATGGTGAAGTTAAAATATTTAGGCAGCTTCCACAAAACATTCTCCCAGGCTGATCCTCTCCTAGTGGCTGCCAACATTCAACCACATCGGCTGAGGATTCAGTGGGATTGCTACTGGCAAGGATTCATGGCACAAACAATCCCAGGAGGATCCAGGGGTCATTAGAAGCACCACCACTCCTGGTTTCAAAGTACACAGTGATCCGTTAGCAAAAGCCACAATGGCCTTTTAGGAAACCTTTCCCACATGACTGAAAAGTGTCAGGGGAGAATAAATTAGCATGGAGAGAAAAACTCCACACAAGGTTAACCACCTCTTGAGATGAGTTCCTCAGGTATCATCCCACAGAGGGTGGTCCCAGAACACTCACGGCACAGAGCTCTCCGTGAGCCTCTCGGGCCAGATGGACTGACTTCCCTCCTTGGAAAGCACCCAGGCATGTGTGTGCCCCCACTGCTGCCCCACAACATGGTTTGGGGTGCAGTGGTCACCTCTCTCCATCCACAAGGCCAAGCTGTGCCAGCCCAAACCGAGGTGTGGCCGCACTGACTCTCCCTGTCTTTGTCCAGCACGTGGCTCTCACCTTTCACCAGGACTTTGGGGACTTTTGTGTGGCTGGCACAGAAGGCACTGTACAGCTTGAACCGGTCAGCGTAGTACAGGAAGGATCCACCCAAGGAAAACAACACTTTCTAGGATTTAAAAATTAAAAAAAAAGGCATTAGTAATTAAAGCACATGAAAGTGTTTAGTTCTTTTCCCTCAACTGAAGCTTCCACTGAGCTTTGGGATGACAGGACAATGCATTTTTAGAGTGTTTTCACATCAGGACATTGACCTGTTGGATCAAGTCCAGAAGAGGCCAAGCTGGTCAGAGGGATGGAGCAGCTCTGTTGTGAGGAAGGGCTGAGAGAATGGGATTGTTCAGCCTGGAGAAGAGAAGGCTCCAGGGTGACCTAATTGTGGCCTTCCAGGACCTGAAGGGAGCTACAAGAAAGATGGAGAGAGACTATTTTCAAGGGCCTGGGGTGACAGGATAAGGGGGAATGGTTTCACACTGACAGAGAGCAGGGTTAGGTGAGATACTGGGAAGAAATTCTTCCCTGGGAGGGTGGGGAGGCCCTGGCACAGGTTTCCCAGAGAAACTGTGGCTGCCCCATCCCTGGAAGTGTCCAAGGCCAGGTTGGAGCAACCTGGGCTAGTGGAGGGTGTCCCTGCCCATGTCAGTGGGTGGAACTGGATGATCTTGAAGGTCCTTTTCACCCTAAACCATTCTGTGATTCTGTGATTCATCCATCAAGAAACAGGCCCAGCCTTGGTGTGTAGATTAACACATTAATTAACAATTATAATAATAATTAACATCATTAGCCAAGTCCCAGTCTGAAGACACCACTAACTCCAGAGGGACTGGGCTCACAGTTCCAGAGCTGCATTTAAAAGCCTTATTGAGCTCAGTAATGGCCAGAGGCCACCGAGAAGGCTGGATGGATCTGACATCAATGGATCAAGACACTGAGGAGCTGTGCAAGCAACACTCATCCCTCTGTACAAACACACCCAGGCCTTCACTTCCTTGGACTGAGTTTGTGTTAGGGGTCAAAGACAGTCCTCCCCTAAGATGTCTTATCTTTTCCTCAGTGTTTGCTCTGTTACCCACTTAGGAACCAGACAACACATGGGGGGGGGGCTGAGACAACACGTGGGCAGGAGAGGGAACCAAACTGCAGAACTGAAACCACGGAGCCCCATAGCCCCATATTTCACACACTGCTTCCAGACAGTGCCCACGGGGCAGAACTGAAAGTGAGGTTGGTGCACTTTTTATGGAAAGAGGTGGGAGCAGCAGCACTCAGAGGGCAGAGTTCTTTCCATAAGGAGGCTTCTCTGGCACTCCTCTCTCAAAGCTCAGAGCACACAGGGATCACAGAGGCTTCTCTGTGCTCTCCATGAAGTGCACATTTCCTACAAGAGCTGTGTTCTAGTTCCATGAGAGCAGTGTTCATGATTGAGGCTCATTTTAAACAAACTCCCAATGACAAAGACACACATGGACAAAAAGACAAATTCTTTCAGTAGTTCTTCCAGGGTTGTATGTTAGCTGAAGAGAACCCCAGTGGAATCACTATTATTCATCAAGACATCCTGTCCTTTACCAAGGTGAGTGCTCAAAGCCAGAGCAAAATTCCCCAGAGAGAACACTCAGCTACTTGCCATATCTCCAGTGCCAGTACAACTGCATTAGAAAGAAAACAAAATTTGTTCCCAAATTTTCCTGGGTTTTATATGAAGTTTACATATCTGCAGTTTACATTTCTACCTGTGATGATGCACATCTGCTGAGAGCTGAAAGTATTTGCCATGTAGTTCCACTATGGATCAAAAGTCCAAATACAGAATTCAGTGTGCTGTTCTGATCTGCAGCCCCAGTGGGCTTCTGTACATTAGACTTGTCAGAGCAAAGATTTTATGTAACTTTCCATTTCTAGCTTTTCCTGACAGCTCAAGGCAGGAAATCTGGCAGAAGGGCAAGAATAGCACCCAGAAGCACATGGTGTTACAGGTTTCTAGTGCTCTATATGGCTAAATGTAGCATAAAATTCAAGTGTAGCAGGATAATTTTTGAACAGCACCAGTATTAGCTGAAAATTAATCCTGACTGGGACCAGATGCATGTTTTTACATGAACAGTGACAACAGTCAGAAAAATATGATGAAGAGTGTCAAAGGACTCCTCAAAGTGTAAACCATGAGATTACCTTAAATTGCTCAACTTTTTCAAGCTTTTCCAGGTCTGGAACCAGCCTTACTCCATCTTCCAAAGTTTTCAAGAACTCTACTTGGAATGCTACCATTTCAGTCAGATTCCCAAAGAGAACATCCAGCTAATGAGAGGAAAAAAAAAAAAGACAACATGCTGAAAATATCACTTGGTAGCTAAACCGTATTTTCTAGAGCTTCAGTAATTCTCAGTTGTATAATCAGGGTGATGTCAGGAAAAAACAACCTACACACTGTACATTATTGAGCACTACTTTTATACCCTCCCGAATTCACTATTTGAAAAAAAAAAAATGGACTTAAAAATTTCAGGCAAGCAAGTCCAGCTGGGGGTGGGCAGAGAAGAGGGGCAGGTGAAAGCTCTCAGGCAAAAAGACAGTCAACAGTCAACATACCTCATCTGGTGTGAGGAACGTTTCTTTTTGTAGAGGCTTCAGGTATCTCTCCATTAGACAATTTAAGTCCTAAAAAGTCAGAAAAAGATGCCCACGTTGGTCCCTCAAAGTGCCTCTGTGGACATTTACTGAAGTGGCAAAGATCACTGCTTACCCAGTGCAAAATTCCTGAGAATTTTTCCTTTTCACACAGAGGACAAAACAGTTGGATTTCACACAGTTGAAGGACAGCAAAAGGAAACATTTACACAGTTTTACTTCCAAAATCATTGAGCAGTGTCCCTCTGCATGCCAGCTAAGTAGCTTCACAACAGCAGCCTAAGAATTTGGAAAGCCTGCTCATTTCAGAGTTTTAAGTTACTATTTTAGGGTCAGACTGCAGAACTGAATGCAAGTTCACTAAGAGATACATGCACAAAGCAGAATTTGAAGTATTAGAGAAGAACCAACACAATTTTACAAGAAATAACAGACTGAAGCAAGACATGGAGCCCCCTTACCTTGACATAGGTGCGTTCTGTCTCCAGGAGCTCACAGATGACCTTCCGCAGCTTGTCTGCGTCTGTGAGTTGTCTCATGGTGGCCAGCTGGGGTCCTGCAAATTCCTGAGGGTGAGCACTGGAGTCAGAAGGGTTCATTTCATGCAGACTGCGACAGAAAGCAGCGACCTGCTCTGTGCTCTTGAAAAAGAAGGAAGAGGAAAGACCGGCGGTAATTTTTTAAGTAAGAGTCACAGGAATGATGGAGCCGAGAAGCGTTTGCAGTTTAGCAAAGTCCAGAAGTGTCTGTCCTGTCTCTCAGTGACTGAGGATAAGGGGGGAAAGCAGGGGGGAACCCAAAAAACAAAACAGTTGCACAATTCAAATTAATGGAAGTGCTGTTCAATAGCATTCCTGGTTTCAGACATACAAGAATTTTAATTAAAATAGGCTCGTCCAGCAATCAAGATTGACAAACTAACAAAGAGGCCCAAGAATTGGGAACAAAAAATGACCATGCAAACAAAACACACACCCCAGCCCTCTGCCAGTTCCCTAATCGTTTGCTACAGTCCTGGGAATAGCTGTGTCAACACATCCGAGGAGACAACGCTGAGGCAGAACCCATTCAAGCTGGTTTTGGGGGAAGCAAAGCCATCCAGGGAGCCAAAGCCTCTCCAGGCTCCAAACACAAGTTCTTTGGGAAAGTAACTGTACACTTGATCTGTGCCTGGAAACATACCTTGTAGGGTGAATTTCTTCCCCAGAACTCACGTTCTGCAGAGCTGCTACATCAAGCTAATTTCTTTATATATAGACATCTGATTAAATATTAAAGCCAGTTATCCTTGCCTCACCTCCTTTGTTAGATCATATTCTCACATCTTTCATTACACTGAAAAGTTTGGAGCAGGTAGGACCTCTGGTGTCAGTGACCACAGCCCCAGGCTCCTGGGGTTGCCAAAGCAGTAGTGTGCTCTGTCTCCATCCCTCCCAGAGACCTGGAGGGAAAGGAGCTGCTCCAGTGGATCACACCTCTCTAATCCTACCATGGGATCTTGATCCAGATGCAGTGATTTCCAAGCACTGCCTCTACAGCCCTCCAGTTCATACTAAAAGTCCTGTGAAGAGCAGCTGAGGGAGCTGGAAAAAAGGAGGCTCAGGGGGGACCTTCTGGCTCTGCAACTCCCTGACAGGAGGGGGGAGCCGGGGGGGGGTCGGGCTCTAGGGAACAAGGGACAGGAGGAGAGGGGACGGTCTGGAGCTCTCTGACTCCTTGGCAGGAGGGGGGAGCGGGGGGGGAGTCGGGCTCTGCTCCCAGGGAACAAGGGACAGGAAGAGAGGACAGTCTGAAGCTGTGCCAGGGAAGGTTTAGGTTGAACGTTAGGAAGAATTTCTTCACAAAGAATGATTACACATTGCAGTGGACTGCCTAGGCCTGTAGTGGACTCCCCATCCCTGGAGGCGTCCAAGGAACGACTGGACGTGGCACTCAGTGCTCTGGTTTCACTGACAAGGTGGTGATGGCTCAAAGGTTGGAGTCGAGAATCTCAGAGGTCTTTTCCGACCTAAGTAATTCTTCGCTTCTGCGATTCCATGACTGTGTTACAATCCCGTCGCGCTCCGNTGGCACTCAGTGCTCTGGGCTGGGGGACAAGGTGGGCATCGGGCACAGGGGGGACTCAAGGGTCTCAGAGGGCTTTTCTCTGTGATTCTGTAAAACAACTGACCCAAAATTAGCCTGTTCAAACAGAGATATACAAGGGAGGAGGAAAAACTAACAAAATAAAGAAAAGAGAGAGAATAAAGCACATCACCACCTTGCAGTTTGGAGTCAGAGCCCTTCACTCCCACCAGCTGGTAGTGCCAAAAAAATTCTGCCTTTTTTAAGCTACACAGCTAATTCCCTCTCCATCCACCCACAATCCATGCTAGGGACAAGTAAGGATTTCCTGCCCTTACGCAGTGGCTTTCCTTAGAGGTCTCTTATGGCTACAAATGCTCACAAGAGGTACCACTTCACAGCATATGAGTACAGAATTATTATGCAAAGGATCATTTTCTTCAGGACACAAGTGTAAGCAAGGAACTAACTGTGACTGACTGTCTATACAAAAAATGCCTCCTGGACACACTTTTTTACAGGGAAAATATGCACCTTCGGTTTCTGAGGTTTAACTCAGATGTGGAAGAAAGGAAAAATATTGCAAATTGAGGACAGGAGGAAGCAGTGAGTTAAAAACAGTCTACTTGCAACTAACTCTGCTCCTGGTAATGGCACATGTCACGGAGTTAAGATTTATTAGTCAATATAATTCCTGTTATTTCTCAGCAAGGTTCCACCTATACTCACTGTACTTTAAGTATAAAGCACACACAAACTTTTACATTACATATGCATTTCCACAGGTGTGATTTGGATCCCAACAGCCCCAAACTCCCAAAAGGCAGTAGGTGAAAGCCTGGCTCCAGTGCAGGCAAAAAAACCCTCCCAAGTTCCCTGCTCTGCTGGAAAGGGACACAGAACTGACAGTTCACACATGTTAATCTGAGCCCACAGAGACCCAGGACACACAAGGGTTTGCTCAGAAATGTTTAGCTTGAAAACTACTTTGTAAACAAATATTTGAGGAACGCATATCCAGTGGTGTTTTGCTTTAAGGTCCAAACGTACAGATAAAACTAGTTGTAATGTATAAAACACAATATGGAATCAAGCTCCAGAAATAAACCAAGTGTTTCAAGCAGTTCATGCTTGATACCCCACAGACTTCTCACCATGCTGTGCGTGCACTTGCAGTAAGTTCCAGGGAAAGATGGGTCACCCAGAAAGAGAGAGCGAAAATCTACTTAGGGTGTGAAACACCAGCTAAGCAGTGAAGTTGAAAATTGGATAACTCACACAGGCACGTGGTCTGCCCCAGAAGGAGCAGTTACACCCATATGCCAAAAAGGAAGCGTAGAAGACTTCTCAAAGCCTTATCTCCACTTGCACACGTAATAAACCACCCCTGGGATCCAGCCATGTCCAGCTCCAGCAGCAGCTGAATGTTGCCTCTCCTGAAGAACTGCCCACCTATCACTCACCCCACACTCTCTGGACAGACAAAAAGTCTCCAGCACAGTAATTCACAAACTCTTGCAATTGTGGTGTGTGACATCCCCCCCTTCCCCACTTAAGCCACAGCCACCAGTGGGGGCTGTGATGGCTCCATCCAGCTTCCCCCAGATTTTGAGGGCTGCAAAGCCCTCAAAACAGTCAAGGGCTGCCTGGAACACTGACCCAGATGTCTTGCTGCTGTGCAAATGTGACTATAAATCAACCACCTTAGTCCATAAACAGTGGACATTGCAGGGCCTGTTGAGCTGCCTTGCAGGGCAGTGAGCTGCACACCAGGATCTGCCCTTGGGTAGGGAGGGCAGGGACACATCTCAAGGTTCCTCCTGGGGGATTCCTTGCCAAAACAGATTCCCGGTTAGTGATCAGCAGCATGCTAGACTTGGAATTCTTAGCCAAGAGATCTGCAGGATTGGCTTTAGACATAAACCCTTGACCAAGCCTGGGACTAGGAGTGGATCCAGCTGCATCTAAACTCCTCTCCGAGAAGGAGCTTAGAAAGCAACAGGGTCCTTTCTGAACTTCATGACTCAAAGGGAGGCCCCCCAACCACTTCATCTGACCCTGCCCTCTATGCAGTAAATAACCAAGTGTACCTTGCCATCAAGTCTTGTTAAACCACTGTCACATTGACCAACCAACTTTGCTAACTTACCAGTTTATATCAATAAAGTAAATTATTGCTTCTCTGTTACAACTGAAGTGCACAAATCCACAACTGCTGTGTTTCGTTCCTGAACATAATCCTGCCTACCTTGTATTTCCTTTAAAAAATCAATTTCCAGATAGAAAGCAGGTGAACACTGCACACAGGGTGCTTCAGGACACAGCTATTTTGAAGAAAACTCTCAAACACATTTCACAAAAGCCTCTCTGTCCCCATTTTCCTGGAGAAAGTGGATAGAGCAGGGAAGGTCTGGAGCAGAAGCAGATCCTTTTATCTCCCTACACCAGCTCTGTTTGCCAGCTGCAACAATGACAGCACTAAAGCAGGATTTCTCCAGGAGAATTACGGCATCACACTTCAAGGACAATTCTGCAAGCAATCCCTTCTAGCAACCCCAAAATGAGACTGAGGGCTGGCACAACTGGGCTGTGAAGTGGAGTAACCCTTCCTCTGCAGGGGGCTCAGCAGAGGGGCTAAGCTCACATCCTTCCCATGCAGGAGGATCAAGTCCTTACACTCACCAAGCATGGGGCTGGGAGTTTTGGCTGCCTGCCCTGTAGTTTTGAAAGCTGAGTACCATTTCTCATGTTTAAAGATGTACAGGCTCCCGGGCATCAGGCACCTGCCCCCTTGAATGGCACAGAGTACTCTCTGTTCCACCAGGGACAGCAAGCTCTAAGCAGCACTGACCCCCCAAACACAATTCAGGCAAACTGCATCTCTTCAGGCACTGCAAGGTAAGAAGCAGCCTCAGCAGGGCACACACCTTACAGCTCAGTCTCATAGTAACCCCCAAATTAACACCTCACCATAGCCCATTTAACTGCTAACTCCTGAGCCCATCCCAAAGCGCAGCAGGTCTGCTCACCAGGTACAGCAAACGGTACAGGGAGTCCCCGTCTCTCCCAGCGCCCTCACTCCTGAGCTTACGGTTCAGCCTCCAAGGAGCCGACATCGCTGGGAAGGCAGGACCGCCAGGGCTGTCACTCATCCAGCAGGAAAACCCCAGTGCTGCACACACTCAGCTGATCCAAAGGGCTTTCCCACTGCAGACAGAGCCCCTGTGCTCCTTCCTTGGGCGTGCAGCTGGGATCTCTGGCGCAGCTCAGCGGGGAAGGGCAGTGCCCATCCTTCTCCCAGCAAAGCCTCCCCGTGGGTGTCACTTGCCGCCCGCTCACCACATCGGTGGGAATTCAGAGCCAGGCACCAGGAAAAGCTGAGACCTCGGGGCTGTTTTCAGAGGGAAACTTCAGCAGAGAGGCTGAAATGCAGCAAAGCAGCAAAGGCAGCCTGGGAATATCAATGTGTGTTGCCTGTGGCTGAGCAGGAGCCGATTGGCTCCGAACGGCACTGCTGAGGAATATTAAACATCTGAAGGGACAGAATTAAAAGAACTTAAAAGAGCCAGTTATGCTGCTGCAAAACCGACCCCTCAAATCCCTGTTTTAATCCTTTCACATCTATTCTGCAACACATTGAAGGTTTGGAGACTTAATTCTGGTCTCAAATAATGCTGCAGAGAGCAGACGACCTACTTTCTTGGAAAAGAAATACCTCTGAATGGTGTAAGCATGTGCTCACACAGCCCATCACAACAGCTCCCCCAAGCACAAGTGCTGCGAGGTAATTAGCCTTTAATGCAAGAGGCAGATGTCTTTAATTAGAAACGGGAAGAAATGAGTGTCCTGCAGTATTTTGACTGGGGATGCCTTTTAAAACACATCCCCACAGTAAGTTCAAAGCGCCATTACATGAAAAAATACACAGAAAGACTGATTTTTGAGATGAAACACAACACCTGTCTTAGCCTTTGGTAACATGCAATGTTAAGAACTTGCACATATGCACAGTTTTCAGGGTGCCTCGTTTGAACCTCAGTTTATTCTACAATATTGAAAAGACCAAAACAATCAGGTCACCACAGAGGAAAGTAACCATTGAAGAAATTACGCTGGTATGAAATGTTCCTGGTATTCTGTTGAATAGAGATTGACAGAGAAGCATCCCCTGTCATAAACAGCCTGAAATTCCAGTTCACATGTTAGATGAAAACAGGCCTGAAGAGGTGGCAGAGAGCAGATTTTCCTTTCCCCCACTCTCCTCCCTCCCAGCTCTCTCCTCCTTGGCTCCCACATGAAATAAGGAGAGAAAAGAAAGCCAGAAGCCCACCCCAGAGCAAAGCAACTTGTAGAAAAACTGAAGGCCACTGCCAGTTGACTTTAAGTCACTGCCATGACTTAAAGAAAAAGGGTTGCACCCAGAAAGCTACTTGCTAGGATTCACAGAGATTTCAACCTGAGATAAGAGGGTGAAATTAGATACGGGGTGAGTCCAGAGAGCAACAGCTATCCCGCACCACTGACACCTTGGAAACAGGTTTCTAGCATTTTATCAGAACAGTTCTTCAGACACCTCATTTTTCCTTATTATATATAATATATATATGTAATTATTACTTTGGCAATAGTGATGGAGAAGCAAATTCTACGTTACCAGCCCTTTCAGATGTACCTAAACCAAGCTTTGCAGAAAATGGAGGAATCCTCGGAGCTACTGCTGCACCCTCCAAATCCTTCACCACCACACCAACAGCTTGGAAGCTTTTGCAGATTAAGAAACAAATGCACCCACTACTAAGGAAACACACACCCACGTGCACACATGCTGGGCTGGGGGAAGGGACAGAGACAGCCGGAGGGAGGAGGAGGAGGAGGAGGAGGGGGAGGAAAAGGAGGAGGAGAAGGGAAGATGCATTCGAAGACACATCCATCTACCTGTCACCTGCACGAGAAACGTACCAAAAAGTCCCAAACCCAGCTTTCGGTAGGATTTCCCAGCGCTTACCTTCACACAAAGCCCGTGCTAGGAGAGCGGATGGAGGAGAGCTGCGGCGCTGCCTTCCTCTCCTTTTTCCATGAATTATTAATGCTCCCCTAGGATCGCTGGGGGAAGCTGGGAGCCGTCCTCCTCTGCAGCCGTGGGGTTGGCAGGATGCAGCCCTGCCCCAGGACCATGTTATCACACGGCAAAGGACACCCCAAAGGCTATTTTCGGCTCTTTAATGCTGGTTCTGCCCTGAAAGAAGGGGAGCTCTGCATTTGGCTGGGAGGCTCCAACGCAGGTAAAATGGATTTCCTCTGCTGCCCAGCAGTGAATGGGTGAGAGCTCCTGCCCTGCTTTAGCCAAGAAGGGCAGAAATACAAAGGGAGCCTCCCCCAGACACCACCATCCCAGGGAGCCTGGAAGCTGTGGCCGGGATGGTGATAAGGGGGAACGTGTCCTTCCTGGGGGGACGAGGGCAGAGCCTTTCCCTTCCCACGTACAAAAATAACCCCTGTAAAACAGCGCTGAGGACATCAGCTTAATCTGCTGTGCCATAATCCCAGGAGCATGGAAAGGTGTGGGAGTGCACAGACAGGAAAACACCTTTGTTTTTCTCCTCACTTGCACCAGCCCAGTGGTGGCTCCCCATGGAAAAACACCAACTGCAGAATCCTTGCTTCCCGTGCAGATCAGCTTTCCCAAGCACACAGAAAAGCAAAAGGATTAGGAAAACCCTCCTGCTGATTGGGCCTTTCCCCCCCCCTCTACTATATACTGGAATTATCTATAGGCACTGCAGAATAATTTGGGGGGTTCTGCAGCTTTCATTAGAAAGGAACCAGCAAGGAAACCCACTGAGTACAGAGCTCTTCTGTGTGAGCAGGGACAGCAGCATCCATGACTTTGCCAAACTGAGTACATTGTATATATACACTATATGTACATGTGTCCTTTTTTTTATGAGAGACCATTTCAAGCAGCTTGTCCCCCAAAAAACGGAACACTCAGTAAAATGCCTCACTCCCCTCTACATCACACAAATATAGTACATGTATCTGCATTTCAAAAGAAAACACGTAGTGATGTCAACATTTCATTTACATGCAGGCAGAAGTTCCCCCCCGTTGGAAACCAAGGCTCCTCAGAGCCAGGAGTTACTTTTCCAGTCTGTGAATATTAAGCATTAAAGCTGCTAACGTGAATTTCTCAGTTTAACTAAATCTGCTGAGCCGCAGAGCTAATCGTGTAATCCTTACGCCTTCCTTCAGGCAACTGCAGCTCCGAGGATGCAGGAGGCAGGATGCAAAATGGAACCCCACAGCCTGTCGAGCAGCTCAGAAATAGAAAGCCATGGGAAACACAGCGAGAACATTTATCCCCCGAGCAGCCATGTGTTCTGCTCAGTGCTCTGCCACAGCTCCGGCGTTTGACAGAAGAGGCTCTGCTCAGAGCATATGAAAATCCCAAATGTTTACAGTTAAAAATCCCGAAGTATCAACAAACACTTCCGCTCACTGAAGAAGAAATTATTTGGACTTACAAGAAAAAGATCTGTAATAAACCCTGGTAACAAACTGCAGGAGTAATCACCTTCTCTGCACGCATTTCATGCACTGGAATGTTTTCCCTTATCTGACTTCCACTGTCTGGCTATCAAAGACAAAACCACAGGCTGGAGGACAGAAGGGATCAGGAAACAAGAGGCCAAGGTCTTTTCCTTCCTTTCTCTACCGTAGAGTAGCACAGGGACCAACTCAGAGCTCACTAGAACACATCTTAGTTAAAATAAGAGAAAACATCCACAAACTGAGATCTGATTCTCATTAAATCATTAATTATGTAGAAAAATGGCTGTAAACTCTCACCATCACCTACGCAACAAATACCTAAAAGCAATCAGCACCTTCAAGACAATCTCACTCGATTCTGCCTCAAAAGCCACTAATCATCACACCTACTGTCCTGTGAAGGACCCCAGCAATTCACCCCAGAGTGTGAACTACCAACCACTGCGAAACCATCCCTTAATCGATGGCAATTAGAAACCCATTTGCACAAGCTCTTAGTTATAACTGGAGGGTTTTGCTTCAGTTTAAGGTAGATGATTAGTTTGCATTTAAAAACCAGCATGTGTGCTTTAAGGAGATACAGTTTAACTTACATTCCTCCTATGCCTAGAAATCAAGAAAGAGTAAGAAATCGTAATAATCCAAGTGGTCTTTTGGCTTAGCAGAGCTGCCCTGGTGAAGGAGGTGATGAACCAGCACGTGTAAAAACTATGTGGGAACATTATCACGAGACACTGGAGATGTGAACCGACTCTGGAAACAGGGCACAAGTCTTGCTTAAGAGGGAGCAAGTGATGTGCCATAATCAAAGTTGTAATTTGTTCCATTCAAGCTCATCCATAAACACCTTGAAAGTAAGATCAATCTTCCCAGGAGAGGTGCTCTAACCAGCACCTGGGCTGTGGCTGCACTGAGCTGCCATGTGAAAATGAAAGTTTCTCACCTTGCTCATCTTATCAGCCTCGTCCGACGACTCCAGGTCCTGTGTTTCCGCCTCCTCTGGAGCTGTGTCGGCAGAGCTGTCCGGGTCACCACAAAGGGAGTGCCCTGCCAAAATGGAGATGCGTGAAAACACAACCAGAAACCCCAAAAAATCTGGGTGCAACCACAGAGCTCCCGTGGAAGGCCAGGCCTCATCCCGCACACAAGCACATTCCAACAGGACGTTGTGCCGGAGGCACTCGGTGACCTCAACGGAGGATTTACAGCACCAGGTTTAACAACAGGTGTAAAAATAAACAGGTTATGGCCAGACACACTATTTAGTCAGAAACTACAAAAGCCAGTTCAGAGATAAGGCTAAAATGTCACATTGAAATTCTTACATTCAGCATTTGTTTCTTGGCTGGTGAGCAGTTGCCAAGGACCTTTATACCTCAGTGGTTTCGAATGGAAACTCTGGTATGCAGTGCAAGCCTTGGTCAGCCCTTCCCCTGGGTTAAAGTCAGACATGATGACTCTAAATGGCTTGCAGCTTCGGCCTAAGACACCCACTTCTGAGTCTCTGTGTTGATTTTTAAGGAAGCAAACCCAGTTTTAGCAATTTTAGGAGCCCATTACATTAACTGAACACTAGATCTCATTTCCATCACTACATGGCAATACCTCTGCACCCCTGAGCACTCTCCTGGAGACTGTGTTGTTGATACAGCTGGTAACTCCTTTGTGACTTCTTGTCACCAAGTGACTAAAGAAGAGAACTAATCCCAGCCCCAGAGCTCTGTGCACAAGTAACTTTTTTCTGACTTTTTCTCTGGCTCAGGTAGCTGTAAGAGGCAGTGTTACTACACCTTTGCCACTTTTCACATAAAAACAAATTTTATATCCATCCAGCCCCAACCATGGCAAACCACACTGACCAGTGATGGACTGAACTCTGCCAGGAATCTCCTGTGCGCCTCAAGCCAACATAAAGATATTTTACAGCAGCTGAGTCCACGCACTAATTCCTTTTATCAGGAAAGATGGAAAGAGACTATTTACAACGGCCTGGAGGGACAGGATAAGGGGGAATGGCTTCAAACTGACAGAAGGCAGGGTTAGATGGGATACTGGAAGAAATTCTTCCCTGTGAGGAAGGTGAGGCCCTGGCACAGGTTGCCCAGAGAAGCTGTGGCTGCCCCATCCCTGGAAGTGTCCAAGGCCAGACTGGACATAGCTTGGAGCAACCTGGGATAGTGGAAGGTGTCCCTTTTAGAGCCCATTATGAAAAATGATTTGCATGACTGTGCAAGATTTCCACTTTTTTTGTGTCCAGAAATAATTTGGAAAAATTGAAATTCAGAAACTGAGAAATAAATTCAGAACATATTCTGCACACTGGGATGGAGCTAAACTGGACATCAGTGAAATGAAAAGGACATAAAAGGTAGTTCAGAGCTGAGCTTCTGGAAGACAGGCTTCTCTTCTGAAAAGGCAGGGTTTACTATTGAAAAAGATGTGCCTGTAGGGGTTGTTTGGTAACACAAAATTTACCTGAAGAAGTGGAGTTTTTTCTGTAAGAAGTTTGTTTTTCTGAGCCTTGCCCAGATTTTATCAACTCACACTATCAGCCTTCTGTTCTCCCTATTAATGTGTGAAAAAGAATTCTTAAACCCATTGAGCTGTCCATTTCAAAAATAAGAGAAAAGAAGTGCTGTGTGTCATAATCTCTGTGGGGCAGTCTGTTTTTCTTCATTGCAATTAGTTTCCCATTACAAGCTGTGTGAAATACACTTTACAGTGGTTTCTCAGCCCAAACCAAGGCAATTATTTTGGGGAGGTGGCTGCTTTCTGCTTTTAAGCAACCACTTTTTCTCTTCCTGAATGTTAAAACACCACTTAATCTGTTTCCTGCAGTATAAACACTTTTACCCAGCAGACAGCAATCTCTCACTCTAGCAGTCACACAGCACGTGTGCTCAGGGTATTTCTACTGTCCCCAGCTGCCAAAGCCAACTCGACTTTAGCAGCTTTATCTGCTGGTTGTTAAATGCAATCAGATCAATAATGCTGCACGTTCCTGCCTGTTAATACCTCCCAGTTACCGTCCCACTTCTGTCAGGTTCATTACATCACCTTCTTTTTGCCCTGTAAATCTTTATTGAGCTCTGCCAGGAGCTCTGAGGAGAACGTGCTCGTTTCCTTCAGCAGCCCCTGAGTGCTGCCTGACCACTGCCATTCGCTGCCTTCACTTGACATTAAGGAATTAGAAAGGGAAATCCAAAAAGCTGCAGGAAAAGGGCGTCAAATCCACGCGGCCACCAGCACAGATGGAGGTCACACAAGTGTAATATCAGCAGTGTAATATCCATGACATTGTGACTAATGCCCATTAAATAACTCCCACTTATAGCCAGAACTAGCAAAATAAAAGGAAGTCTTACATCACTGGAGTAAAGGTGCTGGGGCTTAAAGGCTTGGAGAATCATGGAAAGCTTAAGCACCAGGCCAACACCTGGCTAAAATTTTCCACAGCTGCTGCTTCCAGTTTGCAGGGTTGGAGATTTTAGCGAGACCTCTGTGATACTTGGTACCACTCTTAAAGCCAGCCTGCTTCTTGGTGCCAGACTACTTTTTTTTTCAACACAGTGGAAATGAAAACCCCGAGGCAAGCTCTGCCAGCTGTGGTGCAAGGCTCAGAAGCGTGAGCTCCACTAACCCAAAAGGCAGCCCACAAATCAGGAACCCTGCATCTAATTCCCGAGGGTGTGGAATGGGCAACGCTGGATTTAGCCCTCCCAGTGGCAGCAATGAGGATGTGCTGGCAGGGGCTGCCACGTGCCAGCAATGCCAGAAGTAAGGACGGCAGGGAGGGTTGAAAGCTTTGGTTTGTACCTTTAAGGTGCCTCGGTCTCTTGAGCAGGTTGTTTTACACAGCTCAGAGCCCCACACAACACCGAGGCAGAGCTCTGGCCATAAGCTAAACCACAACAAGTTCCTCCTCACCATGAGGAAGAACTTCTTTCCATGGAGGGTGGCAGAGCACGGGAACAGCTGCCCAGGGAGGATGTGGAGTCTCCCTGTCAGGAGACATTCCAGGCCCACCTGGATGAGTTCCTGTGTCACTGGGGTGACCCTGCCTTGACAGGGGGGTTGGACTGGGTGATCTCCAGAGGTCCCTTCCAACCCTGACTATTCTGGGATTCTCTCTGCCATTAAACAGAACATTTTAATACAAATTGTTAGGGAACTGTCGCTCAGATTAAATTTTTATTTAAGGTGACATTTTGCTATAAATCCACAATAAAAAAGGTGAGTGTACATTTTTTTCTTTCATGAAAAAGAGTTCTAATTAGCTCTGAAACACTGAAACATGAAAGAAGGAAATATCATTTTTACACTGGGGCATTCTGTCTCATTGGGAAGTCCCACAGAGCTGATAACTTCTCCAAAGACCTGGAAAACTGAGCTACAGCTGCCATAGTTTCAGTCAACCAAGCTACCAGGAACTAACAGGGAAACTCTGCAATTCACAGAGAACTACAGAACAAGCCCCATAAATCTCTTTCCATTTTGAATCCCAGAATCATTTAGGTTGGAAAAGCCCTCTGAGATCATTGAGTCCCCCCTGTGCCCAATGCCCACCTTGTCCCCAGCCCAGAGCACTGAGTGCCACGGCCAG